GTCTTGGAGATGGAGGTGGGTAACCTCTTGGCCGTGCGGGGCCTGGACCGCGCCGACATCGTCCTCCTCGAGACCGACCTGGGCGCCGGCGTGCATCCGGAGCTCTGCGCTTTGCTTCGGAGCATGAAGAGCGGGGCGCGGGCCTTTACCTATCTGGACCTCCGGAGTATTTGGGGGGCAGAGGGAGGGGTAGAGGGGGAGGTGGAGGCGGGGACCTTCCCCTTCCGGCAGCTGGAGATCAACCGGTCCGTGTCGGACAGGTATGCCACGTCTTGGAGCGTGAATCGGGGGCACCACTTCTACCTGTGGATGAAGGTGCTGGAGAGCGGGAGCGACGTCCTCATGGTCCCAGAGGGCCATCCCGAGCCGAGCGAGTGGGTGCCGGACGCGTGGGCGGGGGCCGGGCGGGAGAGAGGGCGAGGGCGGGGGCGGACGGTGGGACCCCGTGGCGTGACCATTGACGGGCAAGGCCAACACGGTCGAGTAATGCCATCCTCCCGCTCTCACAGCCAAGACAGGCGCCACCATGCGTCCGACACTGTCTCACAAGATGGACCCCTCAGCCACTCCCCGACCTTCCCCCGAAACCGTCCTCTGGCCTCCTCCCCTCCAGCTTTCTCGCCTTGCCGATTTCCCGCCCAGGAAATGCCAAGGAAAGAAGCGCCTTTAAGAAGAAATCAAGGGAAGGGCGGTGGAGGTTCTGCTCACAAGTCTGTCTTTGTCACATGGGGGAAGGCGGTGCGACGCTTGGTAGGGCGGGGGGGGGGAGGGCAATGACGACGAGCTGAGAAATGGAAGGGACTATTCAGTCCTGTCTTGAGCAGCGACCAATGAGTGACCAAGCACGATTTCCATCTTTGGTGTGTGAGGGTATTCTCACGCGTATGTATCCGTTGCGTGCCTACGTCTCGTAGAGATATTTATTCTTCCTTGTCGCGCGAGCGGTGGGGGAAGACAGTGCAGTAGAGAAGTGAGGGATGGCTGGTGTAGAGTAGTGAGTGAGTGCGACAGGGGGAACAGAGGGGAAGCGTCGAGGGGTCAACAGAGCTCACAAGGCTCAGCGATAAATTGATAGCCTCAATTCCCACTCGTCCGTGGCAAAACCTGGTGGTTCAAGAAAGCAGAAAGCATTCGTACATAGACAGTCTCAGTACGGAAGACAGACGACGAGGAAATGGAGGGCGTCTGTCGAGGCTAAATAAACCATGTAAGCAAAACAGAAAGGTACAGCACACAAGAAAGAAAAGCCGGTGGCTAAATGGGCGTCCCATCTCGGCGATGTGCGACACGTTTCTTACTTACTCCACGGGAGCGTCCAATCCCTGTAGGAATTGCCAGTGTCCAGCAACAGTTTGGCGACCTTGGGCATGGGCTCCTGGTTCGTCCACTGTACAATGTCTATGGTACATCCCCTTCCCGTTGAGTCCTTCCGATCTGCCACAAAGGAAGCCCTTTCCTTTTCCTCACTCTTTCGCACACACGTCCCGACGCCCCCGTGGCGCCCTCCTCCAGTGCTAGCGCCCTTTTGCGACTCACCCATGCGCGTACAAGCCCTCGATGCGTTTTCGCGCCCAAAGCTTGTACTCCTCTTTGTTGCGCACCGACATCCACGACTGCCGCTCCTCCCGTTTAACTGCCTCCAAGGCCCGGTCCTGCAGGGTCTTTTCCTCCAGGCCCTCTGTAGACAGAAGGTAGATCTCTCTGATCAGCTTCCGGCGCCGCAGCCGCCCGACCCCCAGCTCAGCAGCTCTTTCCTCGTCCTCCTCATCTGCAGCCTCGAACCGTGCCAATGATTCGATCTCTTCCTTCTTTTTGCTCTCTTTCACGGCCTTGGCGGCGGAATCCGGTGCACGCTGCCGCTGTGCTTGCATTCCGGAGAGGCTGGTCGCAAGAGCCGTGGAAGATAGGACGAAGGAGGAGGAGACAAGCGACGGGGCAGCAACAGACGCGGAGAGGGCCATTCTCTTCAGCCCCCTCGCTGTCGTGAGCATCGGTAAGGGAGCCCCGACCCGCTGCACATGCCGTAGCTCCTTCATCGGGCCCTGTCTGCTCTTTTCCCCCCTATTGCCCCGTCCCCGTGCAAACCCCGCCCCCTCGTTCTCCTCGTCCTCAACGTACGCCTGAAGCACGGCAAGGGCTTGCTCCTCCAGTGGCTTATCCGCCGCACGGGCCGTCTGCAGTCGCTTCTTCAAGCGTGCGCTGCTTTGGGTATGGGCGATCGCGGCCTCCAGCTCGGGATCGCGTTCGACGCCCCCTCCTCCACTTCCTTTGCCCTTCTCACCCGCTTCCTTCTCCACCTCCCCACCACTCATGCCGTCGTCCTCGAACATACCTCCCTGCTTGCCTCGGTATTTGCCCTTCCCCCCTTCATCCTCACCCTCTTCGCTTGCGCCGTACCCCCTACCCCCGTCCCTCCTCCTCTTCCTCCCCCCTTCCGCCCGCATTGCCGTCAATCTCCTCCTCACGTCGCGACCTCCGTCCATGCAGACGTCACAGCAGCGGTCCTTTCTCCATCCTGCCGGTCGCGCGCCCGTCTTGTCCCCGAAGTGCCTGAGTAACACTCGGCGGCGGCACGTCTCTGCCTCTTGGCAGTATTCAAGCACGCTGTCCAGTTGCTCCTTCTTTCGTTCCACTGCCTGCTGCTTCTCTCTCCCTGCCTCCCCGTGGCCTTCCAACTCCTTGTGCAGCATGTGGAACCGACCCTCCGCGTCCCGAGGGCAGTAGAAGAGGAGAGAGAGGGCAGGTCCCCCGTCCCGCCCAGCCCGCCCGCTCTCTTGGTAGAAGGCCTCCAAGGAGGGAGGGATCTGGGCAAAGGGTTGGTGGGTGAGAGGAAGAAGGGAACAGACAGTTGGTGAAAGAGGAAGACATATACAGACAGTCGTCGGGGCAATGTCAGAGACATGGAGGGTATCAGAGACCAGGGGCCCGGGCGGGGCACTCACGTTCCAATGGGCCACCACCCGCACATCGGCTTTGTCGATGCCCATCCCGAAGGCAAGCGTGGCCGCAACCACCTGTACCCCCCCCTCCACGAACATGGCTTGCACGTGCCGCCGCCGCGCGTCCGGCAGCTTCCCGTGGTAGGCAAGCGCAGAGAGGCCCCGCCCTTCCAGCGCGCGGGCCAGCTCTTCGCATGTCTCACGCTTCCAGCAGTAAACGATGGCGCTTCCCCCGGCACAGTTCTGCCCTAGCCTGTTCGTGGCACTCCCCGACTCAGTCGCAGCCGCGGAGGCGGTGGCCTCTCTCTTGGCACTGCCTGTCCAGCCCCCCGCCCCGGGGACCCCGCCTTGGCCTGCACGGTGCTCTCCCAGACGGGGAGGGAAAAAGGCATGCAAGGAGCCCGCGCGTGCCTGAGCTCCCGTAGTCAGTGAGGCAGACGCTCTTTCCCTTCCCGTGCCGCGAGAAAGGACCGAATCCCCACCGCTCTCGCGCCACCCGATGGCTTGCTTGATGGCAGTGGCCAGCACCTCCTGAGCGTCGGGAAGGAGGGGCTTGTACTCGACCCGGTAAAAGAGGGAGGGGCGGTCGAAGGATTTGCGGAAGACGTGCGAGGGAGGGAGGCGGAGCGTGGAGACGATGTCCCGTTGGACCCTGGGGGTGGCGGTGGCCGTGAGCCCCAAGCAGGGCAGGGAGGGGAAGAGGGCGCGCACTTCTTCCAAGCGCCTGTACGACGGCCGAAAATCGTGGCCCCACTGAGAGATGCAGTGTGCCTCGTCGACGATGAGAGCAGCGAGGAGTTTGCGGGCGTGGAGCTGTTGGAGGACGGGAAGGAAGGAGGGGGTGGTCAGGCGCTCTGGGGTCACGTACAGGAGCTTGACGCGGGGCTCCGGTCGAAGACGAAGGTCGTCGAGGATGTCTTTGTTGAGATAGGGATCCAGGGAGGAGCTGCAGTAGCGGGCGTCTATACCCTTTTTTCTCAGGGCGGTAACCTGGTCGTTCATGAGCGCGATCAGAGGAGACACAACGACAGTGACCCCGTCCAGGAGGAGCGCAGGCAGTTGGTAACATAGGCTCTTCCCTCCCCCTGTGGGAAGAAGCACTAGGCCAGATCCTCCTTGAAGGACATGCTTGATGACATCCTGTACAGCAGAAAAGGAGTGTCAGAGTAAACCGTGAATATACTCAGCCGAAAGCAGCACCGACGTCAAGGAAACAACTCTCATAAAAAAGCACGCGGGGGAAAAGATTGCCCTCGCACTTATGAACCCCTGGTGAGCCCGGACTCTTCTTTCGTATGAAATATTTTCTACTTGTAGGGGTGCGCAAAGGAGGTGCATTCATGAATCACGTGAATAAGCACAGAGATGGTGAGACTCGCCTTTTGCGGTTGACGGAATGTCTGGAGCCCGAAGGCGATGCGCAAGACCTCAACAATCCGCGCATCAAGTTCATTGTCAGGTGAACCTTTCACTGATGTGGAATCCGCTATCATTTCGGTGCCAGACGTCCTGTAACGTGGTGAGCGGGTCGAAGGTCAGAGCGGCGAAATTAAGACACGGTAAAGGAGGCATTCTAGTACGACGGGCAAGAGATTGCCGGATGAATAGTTTTCAAGGATGGTACGAGTCTCAACGCTTCACCATGGTTGAACGCCTGAAGGGCAAACTGATTGACTTTTTTGGGTTTTCTCATGGCTCGACCAACGGCGTCAAAGCGCAGAGACGGGCGCACATCAGTGACAAGTGCTCGCTGAGTGAAGTATTGTGAGCGAGGCGATGATATCATCCCCTCCTTCCCGAGTGCCAATAGGAAGGAAGCAGGCCTCCGCCACAATCTGCGTGCGGTACTCTTCCGTCCCTCTTCTAATATGTGTCAAGAGGAGATCTGTCTTTGCGTGCATTCAGTCCTCCTCATTAATTGTGCAGGTGGTGCACAAACCTAGCCCAAGAAGGAAGGATTGGCAGACCGCCACATTGCTATCTACCCCCCCCCGAACCGCAACATCTTTCGCTTTCTCAGCCGACTCCGACACAATTTGCAATATCTGCTCGAAATGATCCCAGGCCGCACCTTCTAGGGCCATGCCGGGCGTCCTCATGCCCGCCGACGGACTTGCTGGTGAGTTTGTTGGGACAAAGGGAGAAACTTACCAACGCCCCGTGATCAGCCGGGGCCGGCCGACGTCTCGTTTTGACCAGTTGGGTAGGATTGGCGAAGGGAGATTTGGAGACGTCTACATTGGCGCCGATCGGTCGACAGGCAAAGTCGTGGCAATCAAAGAAGTGCGACTTCCCAATCTTGAAAGAAATGGTCTGCCGAAGGCTGCTTTGCGGGAGCTGCGGGCTCTGCAGCACCTTGAGGGACACCAGCACGTCGTTCGCCTCCTGGATGCTTTCCCACGAGGAGGATCTCTGGCGCTTGTCCTGGAATACATGCCTAGCGACTTGGAAGTGATGTTTCGGACGCGGAGGTCCGTTTTCCCGGAGAGCCAAATCAAGTCCTACATGTGGATGCTGCTTCAAGGCCTTTCCTACCTCCATGCCCGGCGCATATTACACCGAGACTTGAAACCATCCAATATCTTGCTGTCTGCCCGTGGAGTCATTAAGATCGGGGACCTCGGAAGCGCGCGTGTGGACAATGACCCTCCTCTCGAGCCTTACTCCCACCAAGTGGGCACAGCTTGGTACCGGGCGCCTGAATTGCTCCTTGGGGCGCGACGCTACGGTCCTGCGATAGACATGTGGGGTGCTGGGGTCATCATGGGGGAGATGGCTTGCCTTTCCCCTCTCTTTCCCGGACGCGGCGACCTGGACCAGATCTTCCGCGTTTTGGAGGTCCTCGGCACCCCAAGCGCTTCGGAGATCGAGCAGTTTCCCGACTACAGGAAGATAGAACCCCCCTGCATGGCGAAGAAGGACCTGTCGCAAGTCTTCCCCCGCGTGCCGCCTGCGGGGATGTGCCTGTTCGAGCAGCTTGTCGAGCTGGACCCGACGAAGCGAGTTTCGGCAGAGACCGCCTTGACCAATCGCTTCTTCTACATCGAGCCGGCAATTGAACACCCCGGAAATTTTGCGGTCGTAACGAGGAAGCTTCCTCTCAGCGTAACTTCGATATTGGGAAGTCGCTTTGAGAATTGTTGGAAGGAAAGGAAGGGGGACAATGTCTTCGAGGATGTAATGAAATCATGTAGATTAGGAAGGGAATGAAAATGGAAGATTTAAAATTTATGCCAAATTTTCATCACACCACTCTATGCCTTTTTTCTTTTATGCATCTCTTCTTTGTGCGGGAGCTGTCAAGCATGCGTCCTCAGTCCTGGCCCCTCCGACGTCATTAGGCGACACCCGATCTCCTCCACTCAGATAGCATTTGTAGCAAAATAGCTAATCATTCGTCATGCGTCGAACAGCACTTACACCACCTGTAGGTGGGGGTACAAAATGTCTCGCCATTCACGCAAAAGGCCCCCCTCCGCCAGGCATCTCTCTTTCCTGGTATGCCCTTTTGGAGAACCTCAAACTCCACAGTGCTCGCTTCTCGATGAGGCCCCCCGCAAATTTAAGGGTAGACATCCTGTCGATCCATGAAAAGTCTTGACTGGCACTAAGCAGATGTCTCACAGCGTGCTTTAGAATAACAGCCAACTGCGCGTTTGTAGGAATGTATGAATGAGTTGGTAGAGCAAGCGCTTCCATCAGCCTACGAAAGGCACCACTTTGAAGATGAGAAACGCGCTGCAGCGTCCGGCTGCTCAGCATCGCAATGACAGTGGCAGGGTCGTGATCAGGGCCAGCAAGCATGGCGAATGTGTGGACGAAGAGAACCAGATCGGAATGGTTCACGTCTCTTCCGTTTTTCTCGAACGACGCCAGGACCAGGTTTTCCAATCGTCGATAGTAATCTGTACCTGCAGAAAAGTGAAAAACCGTGTGGAGAAATAGAAATGCTGACAACACAGGCAGCAGCTGCAAAGGACGCATGGCCGGGATGTGCTTGAAGACCGCTCTAGTATAGGCTCTGGGGAACGCCACCCCCAAGTCTCTTGCCCAGTCCTCAAAGGTGAGGTCAGTGACGCACATTTGCATGAATGCGGACAAGTCGTCAGGTCCCAGCTCCTCCACCCGACGGGCTAACTGCTTTGTCGCTGCTTTGATCAGCCGCTGCCGGTTGTTGACGTCAGGTGTTTCCAGCCGCGCAGCATCCAGCGCCTCTATGGTCGTGCGTCGATCCCTCGTCATAGGCCGGCGGAGCCCTCTGAGGAGTTGAACGAGCTCAAGAGGCTTGAATCGGTGCAAGCTGTCGATGCTCTGCGCCAGGATTGCTTGGATAAGCCTGCGGCTAAACGCGTCTAGGTGGGCGGGAGGACGAGGCCAAATTTGGACGGCGAGTGCGAGATCAGCAGGTGCGAGGCTGGAGAGACGGTGCGGGAGGTCGAGAACAAGCGCTTGCCGAAATTGTTGACCAGAAAGGCGGGCCTTCACCGCGGGCGAAAGAGAGCTTGAGGCTTCCAGTAGGCGCACCCACGTGGAGCCGGGAAGGGACGGGGACGAAGGAGAAGAATTCGCACGAACACGGGCGGTGATGGTTTCGAGGAGGAGGTCGGTGAGAGAGGGGGGGATGTGCTGACGGGAAAGCGATGATGTAGAAGAAAGTGTCTTATGTACGATCTGGGCCAAGTCTTGCATTTGCAAAGCGTTGAGTCTCGTCGTCACGATGCTCTGGAAAGTGGACCGTGTATGTTTAATTGCGGAAAATGAGTATGTCACTTGCATATAAGTATTTCACAAAGCATATTTGTGAAAGGATGCGTGTTTTCTTAGCAGCCCGCCACGACTACAAGGGTACCTGGAAGTTCTCCACGCCATGCGACTCTGAGTTCCTCCAAGAAGCTCGGAGCTGCGCGAATAAACCGTTTGGATCAGGTGAAATCAAAGTACTTTGGATGTCAATGTGCCTCTGTCGATTCTGACAGTAGTCAGAAATTCGTTTCAAAGTCGCGTCCTGCCCCACATCGCTCCCGATTCCACTTGTCTCCTTTTCTAGTATTCTTAGTTTGTCCAGCAGCAGATAGAGCTTTTCATCCGGCAATTCATCCCAAAAATCTTCTAACATGTGAGTTGAGTACAACAGCTCGATGGGATTCTCTTTCGTCTTGTTGATGTCGTCTACTAAAGCCTTCTCAAAGTTGCTTGAAGCAGCATGAAAATCTTTTTCGTCATTAATGGAAAAGAGTGGTGTGCCGGAAGGAAGGCTCGAAAATGGAAATGTAGACATTGATTTTCTTGATCGGTGTTGTGAGATATCATGAAGAAGCGTAATCGAACTTGACTTTGAGAGCAGGAACAACATATGTTTCTGGGAGGACCGCCAATGCCGCTGTCCGAACAGGCTAGCGTGGAAGCCGTGTATTTGTAGTGGCCTCGATAAGGTCAAAAAGAGAGGTAATAGCACCCCCAGAAGCTGATATCGCTGCTGTTTTTTTGACGTTGAGGTCTCTTGTTTGCAGCTAAGGCTTTTGGATCCAGGCCGCGACCAGGCAAAAGAGCCCGACATGACGGACGTGAGCGTCGCGAGGAGCAGTTTGAATATGTCTCCATATTTTCTCAACAGTCGATTCTTTTGCCGCCTTTTATATGCGTCAGACTTAGAAGACATATTTATTACTCATTGCCTGTGCTTGTATGGCGTCGATGAGGGCGTTAACCTTCACGGGAAAGTCGGCTGACCAGCGCAGAGTGCTAACCTCCCCACCCCACGTGCTCGCGCGTGCGTCATCGCCAATTTAACGGTTCGAGCAGACTTTGATGACCATTGAGACACTGCCCACCCTCTGCCAGGAAATTGGAGGTCATGACCACTAGCATCACCGGAGCTGTAACAGTTAAAGAGGCACAATATTTTGTGGGGACGCTGAGGGTGCGACAACGTGAAGAAGCGGCGAGCCGAGCAACGTCCTCCCTTCAGTCTATTCAGATCCTCGATGATTCCGATCCACAAGCACTTGCAACCGTTCTAGGTACGTATAAGTCGTTGGCATGCTAGGGGGAGAAATTTATGGTCTTAGCACGATGGACTTTGCGATTTGAAACGAAAATGCTTCAAATGGAAATGGTGACGAATTTCTACTTCGCAAGCCTTTTTTATGAGGCTTATTATACAGCTTTCCTTGTCTTACCAACAGATAGTTATGACACTTTCTTGTTCGACTGTGATGGAGTCCTTTGGCGTGGGAGCGATCTCCTTCCAGGGTCTACGCGTACCCTGGCCCTTCTGCGGGCTCAGGGAAAGCGACTCTTCTTTGTAACAAACAACAGTAGCAAAAGCCGTGCTGAGTATGTCGCCAAGTTTACTAAATTGAATATTCCTGTAGACATTTCGGAAATCGTACCTTCTTCGTGGGCTGCAGCTGAATACGTACGAATTCAATATCCTGAGGTGAAAAAAGCATTTGTGATTGGCTCGCAGGGTCTTGTAGATGAGTTAAATCTTGTTGGCGTCACCTCTCTGTGTGGAGCTGATCAGTCGTACGCCACACGATGTTTTGCAACTGAGAGTGACTTCCTCTCAGCGGAAATTGACAAAGATGTCACCGCTGTACTGTGTGGATGGGATTTGACTTTTAACTTTGCAAAATTAAGTCTCGCGAGTCTTTACTTGCAAAGAAAGCCGACGGCAGCCTTCATCGCGACCAACAAGGATGCATTCGATAAGCTAGCAGATCGAAACATCCCCGGGAATGGTTGCGCCGTTGCGGCCCTCGAACAGAGTGTCGGACGAGGGGCAGTGAATGTAGGTAAACCATCGCGATGGTTGATTGATTATCTGTTGAGGACGTACAACTTAAACCCAAGAAGAACATTGGTAATTGGCGATAGGCTAGACACTGATATTCAGCTGGGTATCGCGGGGGGTTGTGATACTGTCCTCGTAGGCACGGGGTGCACGACCACGGAAGACGCCTTACTTGAACAGGAAGCCCGGAAGGTAGGGATGCCGACTTATGTGCTATCGCATGTGGGTGCATTCAGCTTAAGCGCGATACCATCCAAGAATTGAAATAGAAGTAATGTAAGAACCAAAAGCGAGAAAATCGCACATAGCGTAGGCTCCCACATGCAGTAGGAGACACATAATTGAGCAAAGACTACAATATAAATGAATGGACAATGATGTGAGCAAAAAATACCGACGCTTTCAGTTCCCATCTTGCGAACTAGTACCAATTTCTTCATAATACGGTTTATGGCATTGTACTTAATGACAGAAACGAGGACGCAGCCGTCGATCCCAAAACGAAGGCAGTCTGCCACTCACTGATTTCATACATTGGTGCAATATAAGTACCATGCGGCAGTCACTATGGTTAATCATACTTTAACCCTCAATAATTTGGTGTGCTCCTACCCTCCATGCAATATGCGGTATATAGAAAGCTAGTTGCACTCTTTTTTTCAGAAGCGGCCACCTCAACGTGGAATACGCCGGAACCCGTCCGCTCTCCGAAGCTAAGCGCGTTCGAGTCCCAATAGTACTGCCGTGGGTGACCAGGCTGGAAGGTGGGATGTCGCTTCTTTTTTATTTTCATTTGTGGGATAAAAGCT